TCTGAGAATTGGTCTACTTCTCCCCTACACAGGAAGAGCTCAGAGCTGACAGCCTGTGGTTTTCTTGCTAACACAGGCACAGGCTTGTAACCACAGAGCTATGAGGTACAGAAGTACTTAGCTGATTTTATGTCTCTACATAGCTAAGTCAAACCAGCAGATGGCCAAGTGTTTACCAGTAAAGAAGTCAGAAGGGAAATCACCTAGAGATGGATGGGTGTCAACCAATGAGCTTTAGGGTCACTTAAGTTAGCCAATAAACACTGCTTATGGCTTTGTCTCCTGGCTGCCAGAAAAGTTGCCCCTAAAAAATGTATAAAAAGACAGCTAAAAAGCCTAACGGGGTCTCACCCCAGCTTGGCGGTGAGAACCCAGCGCGTTGGAAATAATAAACCTCTTGCGAATTGCATTGCTCGTGGTCTTGTGGTCTCTTTGAGGCGAGTATTCCTGTTCTATGTGAGATTGGGATTCATCCCAAATCTTACACTTCTTTCACTTATGCTGCCTTTAGCTGTTGTATGTTCTTAAACACTGCAAGAAAGTGCAATTCTTGTATGTCAAAGCAAATTTTCCTGTTGAGTTACATTCTAATTGCAGAGATGCTATCTTTTGACGTCTTCATTCTTCTTGTCCATATTCTGAGCACTCCCCCTTGTGGTGCTTGTGACCCTTGGCCAGGTCCTGCTCATGGTGGTAACGACCCAGCAGTGGTGGCTCCTGTCCCTGAGAGACTCAGCCCTGCCCCTGGAGTCCCCTTAGGCAGGCACGTGGCACAACTGGCTTTTCTTCCTGTGCCCCTGCCCAGACCCCCAGCCTCGCTGCAGGTGTGGACTCCTGAAGACCGACCCCCTCTGTGCCTGAGGTGGTTCAGGTGTACAGGGGGTAGAATGGCCTGGTCCATGNCTGCCAAAGACACCTGGCATAGCCTTTCTTCCTCATCCAGATGTTCTTGAACTTCATTCATGAGTTTCAGGGCCTCCTGAAATTACAAAGCAGAAATTACAAAGCAGAAACAAACATCCTATTTCCACTTCATGATTCTATATGTATGTATCTTAGCTGATTTCATCATTGGAAATGTGCATATTCTAAACTACTTCTCTAGTCTTTCTCCTCAGTCCCTTAGCAGTTGATGGATCTGCTCCAATGCTTTCTGTTTGATTAGTAAGAGCACTGATTGATCCCTATTAAAGACTGTGAAAATCTTACTCATCGGTTCATTCATTTGGTCAACAAGTATTTACTGAGTGTTCGCTATGGGACAGACATTATGTTAGATGTGGGTGAACCAAAAAAGCCATCCCTAGCTGGGGGAACAGCTATGATTTATCTGTTTGCTTGTCTGTCTGCACGTCTAGTACATGGGGGACGTGGAAGGCGAGCTTTAAGGCTTATAAAGCTGACCGGTTTTACTTCTTTCACTTACGCTGCCTTTAACTGTTGTTATGTTCTTAAACACTGCAAGAAAGTGCAATTCTTGTATGTCAAAGCAAATTTTCCTGTTGAGTTACATTCTAATTGCAGAGATGCTATCTTTTGACGTCTCCATTCTTCTTGTCCATATTCCGAGCACTCCCCCTTGTGGTGCTTGTGACCCTTGGCCAGGTCCTGCTCAGGGTGGTAACGACCCAGCAGCAGAGGCTCCTGCCCCTGAGAGACTCAGCCCTGCCCCTGGAGTCCCCCTAGGCAGGCATGTGGCACAACTGGCTTTTCTTCCTGTGCCCCTGCCTAGACCCCCAGCCTCGCTGCAGGTGTGGACTCCTGAAGACCGACCCCCTCTGTGCCTGAGGTGGTTCAGGTGTACAGGGGGTAGAATGGCCTGGTCCATGAGAAGACAGCCTCAGAGCTAAAGGCAACTCCCTTAAGTGAAGACTGCATGAGGGGGAAGTTTCTGTCCTTAAAACCAATTTATTGTGCATTTTTACCCAACAGGAAAGAAAAATCACCCTTTCCTGGTGTATTAAGCCCAAAGAATCACCCGGGCACCGACAATCTTCCCCACGCCCCTGTTGGCTGGGATTTTTCAGCTGCCCTCACTGCAGAGTTCGGTGCTAAGCCAGGCAGCATTTGCCATGGCCCACAGAGGAAAACTGGTAGTCCCCAGCAGCCGATGCTTATTCCACCATATTCTGGTTTATTAGAACATGACAATGGCTCTAAAAATAGAGCAGATGCAATTAACAGTGGAGGCAAATTAACCTGGCACATTCATTATCCTAGGGCTTTCTCCCTTTGTAATTGGATATAGCACTGCCGAGCCAGGCGTATACTCTAATCAGTATGTGCTCTACTATGGAGAGAGAAATTCCACTCAATTTCATATTCAGCTCTCTTCTTGAAGGGGAAGGGAAATCCAGGCCAGTAGAATTGGAGCCTTTTATGGGGCAGAGCTCATCCTATTCAGGTCACCCCCCTCTGTGATTTTCTCTGCCCAGAAGATTGCCAAAGGGGACAAAAAAGAAAAAACATGCCAGTGCTACAGGACATACATGAATAAGGCAAAAGGAGATGGGAAGATAGTGTGTGTGTGTGCACACATGTGTGCATGCTGCACGTAAGAGGGCAGGCACATGGAAGGAGAGATTCAGGTGGCAGAGAATGTCTTCAAATGTTTGGCCTCCAGGGGAAAAATTTAAAGCAAATTGAAATCAGAGACTGTAATATTATTATTCCAGAATATAAATCAGCAAACATTTATTGGATACCTACAATGCTCAAATGAAGACAAATAAGATTTGATTCCTGCCCTCAAAGAGCTTACAATCTAGTGGGAACATGTTCACAAATAACAAATACAAGGCAGAAAGAGTCAGGGTATTTCTAAGACAGATACATACAATGTCATACAGGAATGCACCTTTTATTGCACTGTTCTACCTGTATATACCTCCACTACTACACTCACCTTCCTTTATTTCAATAGTTTATTTTCATATTGAATCAGTCAGGGTCTGCCCAGGAAACAAAAGTTACACTCAAAGGAAATAATGAAAATAATTTTAGGAAGGGACTCTTTTCAGAAGTGGACAGAGTTAAGGAAATCAGTGATTGTATACAGGAGCCCAGTGAGTGCTGGAGCCTGGGAGGAGGGAATTGCAGCTGTGGAGGAACCACCGGAGCTGGCAGCCAAAACTGCCTCCCACTGAACTCAATCAGAAGACACAGAGCAAGGAGCCTCTGTGATGCAGCTCAGAGGCCAAATCCTTGAGGCACAAAGCAGGACAGAGAAAGGTGGAGAATGGATCCAGGGCAGAGGGTGGCAAACCAAGACAAAGCAGCACGTATGTTCATCTCCCACCTAGGTGGAAGGTTCTCCAGGGCAGGACCATTTTTCATTCATTCTCATAGCCCCAGCACTTAGTACAGGGTTTGGCCCAGAGTAAGCATTCAATAAATGTCTGTGGAAGCAAAATACAATGCTAGGACATGTACTACATTTAACTTAACATTTGAGGGAAGGCAGGCAGGAAGACAGGCAAAATAGATAAAATATTATCTATTTTGGGGCCATTTTCATTCCCTTTCACAAAGAATTATTCTATATGTTTCTTGATATCATATCTAACTTAGATGACAACGGCACAATCAGGGTAGAATCCACTGTAAAGGTTTTAATTTTTATTTTTCTACTTTGCTGAGTTCAATCTAATAGCTCCATAAGCAACATGAATCTGGAAATAGAAGTATCCATGCGGGGCTATCAGCACAAGATACAAAGCACGAGAACCACAAAATATTTCAATTAGCAATGCTTGTTCATCACTTGAACATCAAAATCTCTGGATCCTAGCACACAGTAGGTAATTAATAAAAGCTTGTTAACTGTCTAGAATCAGGTGAGCCAGGTAGATTTTTTAAAGTATGAAGTCATCCAGATACTCTGACAGATATGAGGCTGTTGGGTAGGGTGACAACCATCCTGGTTTGCCTGGGATTGTCCTGGCTTTAGCACTGATAGTCTCTGGTCTGAGAAACCCCCAATCCCAGGTGAATTGGGACACTTGGTCACCCCATGATTAGGGTCAGTTAAAAAACTGTAGATTTTTTTTTTTTTTNGTGGCTGCAACATCAACCAGTCTGGTGACAGCTGACACACAGCTGTGGGGTCAGCCTGTCAGACTAACACATTCCAGTTGCTTAGTGGACTCGCCAGGGCCACGATGCTTGGAAGTGGAGAGAAGCAAGCAGCTGTCTGGAATTCAGTGGCCACCAACTTATAGGTATATAGGTATAGGTAGGAAATGTTAAAACTTCTACTTGTATTTTTTAATAAAAAAATTGACTGGGGGAGGGAAAATAGGGCTTCGTTAATAGGCATAGACTTTCAGTTTTTGCAAGATGAGAAGAACTCTGCAGATTGGTCGCATGACAGTGTCAATATAGTTAATACTACTGAACTGGACACTTAAAAGTGGGTAAGATGGTAACTTGTATGCTATGCATATACCATAATTTAACATTTAAAAATAAATAAAAAGTAATTAAAAAGTAATTTACTCTCAACATTAAAATTTAAAATGTTTTCCAAATTATTTTTGTTACATTTTGCATTTCCTCTATGATTTAAGGGTAATGTTGGAAGATAACCTTTTTTAAAAANGACCAATAACAAGTGAGGAAATTGAATCAGTAATACAGTCTTCTGTTCAAGAAAAGCCCAGAATTTGCTGGCTTTACTGCTGAATTCTTCCAAACATTTAAAGAACTAATACCAATTCTCTTCAGATTATTCCAAAAAATTAAGGAGGAGGGAATACTTCCCAACTAATTTTATGAGGCCAGCATTACTGTGATTCCAAAATCAGACAAGGACACAACAACAACAACAACAACAACAACAAAAAAAAATAGAAAGAAAAAGAAAATTATAGGCCAACATCCCTGATGAACATAGATGAGAAAATTCTCAACAAGATACTAGCAAACTGAATCCAGCAGCACATTAATAAGATCATTCACTATGATCAAGTGGGATTTATCCCAGAGACACAAGGATCGCTTAACATATGCAAATCAATAAATGTGGTACACCATATTAACAGAAAGAAAGACAAAAATCATATGATCCTGTCAATTCATGCAGAAAAAGTATTTGACAAAATTCAACACTCTTTGATAACAAAAACGCTTAACAAACTACATATGGAAAGTACAAACCTCAATACAATAAAGGCCATATATAACAAACCCACAGTTAACATCATCCCGAATGCGGAAAAGCTGAAAGCTTGTCCTCTCAGATCAGGAACAAGACAAGGCTGCCCACTTTCACCACTTCTATTCAACACAGTATTCGAAATCCTAGCCAGAGCAATTAGACAAGAGAAATAAATAAAAAGCATCCAGATTGGAAAGGAGGAAATCAAACTGTCCCTGTTTGTACATGACAAGATCTTATATGTAGAAAACACTAAAGACTTTACCAAAAAACCATTATAACCTAGAAACAAATTCAGTAAACTTGCAGGATACCAAATCGACATACAAAAGTCAGTAGCATTTCTGTATACTAATAGCAAGCTACTTGAAACAGAAATCAAGAAAACAATCCCTTTTACACTAACCACAAATATATATATATATATATATATATATA